GGGGTCAGCTGAGGGAACGTCAAGGAGAAAAGAAATCAGTCTAGGACATGTTGCTGCCTCTCCCAGTCCCTAGGGACCCAGGACTGGCTTAGGCTCATAGCAGAAATTATTTAAAGGCTATGAACCTAAATAGATTTTCTAACCTTTTTTCTAACCCAAATTATCTAGCGGGCTTCAGTTCTCCTGGGAGGCCACACCCCTAGGGCGAGCCCATCTCACCGGTCATACCGCTGTCAGCCTCTTATATTTTGTGAGACGGAGCGCCCCCTAGGGGTGCCCAGTAATTATAGATTCAGGGAAATGGGCATCTCGAATTCCTTGCTTGTGAGAAACTATTTTAACAACTTGTAAAACAGATACATTAATACATTGTAGAAGAAATATTCACAATAAATCTGGATGTATCCCAAGCCCTTGCATGCATCTGCTCCATGACTTTAATATTATTTGATGTATAGGTTCAGACTCCTCACTCCATGACAAATGAAAGAGTAGAGAAAGAGCAAAGTGGCGTTTGACTTTTAGAAACCAAGATAGTTGAAGAGAAAATGGCTAAACAATAGTGTTGTGAGACATAGTTTTGGTGGATGCAGCGTGATGTGAGAGATAATAGGAATTAAGAGAGTTCTAAATTGGAATGCAGGGTGTGAGAAGAAGTTATTACTGAGTGATAAAAAAATAGGAAGGAAGTTCTATTAAGTTTTATTAAGGCCAGAAGTCTGAAAACCAAGAGTTTAAGAAATTGAAGTGTCATTTTTATGCACCATTAAATTGTTGAAAACAAGGTACAGAAGAAAGAGTAAATCAGATGCTAAAATAAAATTGCCTTAGTGCTAGAAGTTCTGTCAGCAATGCCTGGGAGAAGTAAAAAACAACAGCACTGAAACTTTAAGAAGATGCTATAGTTAGTCTTCAAATAATAGGAATTGGAGAAAAGATGAAAAATTAATGTTCCAGAAATGATTCTGATGAATTAAAGAACCAAAGTCCCCAAATATTTCAGATAAAGAAATATCAGCCGGATGCAGTGGCTCATGCCTGTAATCCCAGCACTTTGGGAGGTCAAGGCAAGAGGATTGCCTAAGCCCAGAAGTTGCGGACCAGCCTGGGCAACATGGTGAGACCTTGTCTCTAGAGTAAATAAAAAAATTAGCCAATTATTTGGCATGTGCCTTGTAGTCCCAGCTACTTGGAAGGCCAAGGCTATGGTAGCTGTGATTGTGCCACTGCACTCCAGCCTGGGTGACAGAGTGAGACTCCTACTCAACAACAACAAAAATAAATTAAGAAAAAGAAAAGAGCCGGGCTCGGTGGCTCAACCTGTAATCCCGCACCTTTGGGAGGCTGAGGTGAGTGGATTGCCTGAGCCCGTGGGTTCAAGACCCCCCTGGGCAGGCGAGACCTCATCTCTACAATAAATCAAAAAAATTAGCCGGGCGTGGTAGCGCGCGCCTGTAATTCCGGCTACTCGGAAGGCTGAGGCAGAAGGATTGCTGGAGCCCAGCAGTTCGAGGCTGTGGTGGCCGGGAGCGGCCACTACACTCCAGTCTGGGCGACGGAGTGAGACTCCAACTAAAAAAAAATTTAAAGAAAAACAAAAGAAAAGAATAGAGAGAAAAGAGTTAAAGAGAAAAGGTATGGGAAAGGAGATATGGCAAAAATTATCACCAATTAGACTAAGGGGGTCCACGAACAGCATCTGATTTTAAAGTAAACCCAATCTGGACATGCATCACAGCACTTCCTCTTATCAGCTGTTTTCAAACAAGTGGCTTGATTTATTTAAGTCTCAGTTTTCCTCATTTGTGAAATCAGGATACTAATGTCTTCTTTGAAGTGTTGTTGGCACAACTAGATGAGATAATGTATGGAAAGCACCTAAGCATTCTGTGAACATTTGTGGAATAAATATAGGCTGAATGCATGTCTGCTAAATTTTGGATCTGGAGCCTGGACACAGTCCTCACTGAGTTTATGGTGTGGTGTGGTATCAGACACGTGAAAAGACAATTATCAACTAATGGGCCACATGGAACAACTATGAACCCAAAGCAAACAGGAGTACTTAGTATTAGTTCTCTTGCCTCTACTCTTTGAGATGGAGTGGCACCCACCAGCAGGTACTGGTTTGGGAGGATGAGGGCAAGGGTGGCATGAAGTAAGCATGTGGGATTCCACATGGGAAGTATTTATGCCCAAGAAGTAGATTAGGCATATTTGAATGAACTGATAGAACCCGATGGTGCAAGGACAGGGAACAATGAAGACAGAACAAGTTGGTTCAGTAAGAAAAGTGGGAGAGTAAATATGCAGCAGAACTATGAACCTGTAGGCTGGGCACAGTCACTCAAACCTGTAATCCCAGAACTTTGGGAGGCGGAGGCGAAAGGAATGCCTGAGTTCAGTGGTTTGAGACTAACATGGGCAACTTGCTGAGACCTCATCTTTACAATAAATCAAACAATTAGCCAGGCATGGTGGCATGTTCCCGTAGTTCCAGCTACTTGGAAGGCTGAGGTGGAAGGATCACCTGAGCCCAGCAGGTAGAGGCTGTGGTGGCCAAGAGCGTGCCACTACACTCCAGAGAGTGAGTCTCCAACTCAAAAAACAAAAAACAACTATGAACCTGTAGACTCAGTGAATGCTTTTGTGCATATCATTTGTTTGTTTGTCTTTGTTGTCGTTGTTTGAATAAGAGTCTTACTCTGTCCCCCTAGACAGCATGATTATGGCTACAGCAGTCCAGACCTGCTGGACTCAAGTGGTACTTCTGCCTCAGCCTCCCTAGTGGCTGGGATTACAGGTATATTCCACCATACCTGGCTATTTTTAAAAAATATATTTATTGTATAAATGAGATCTCGCCGTGTTGTCCTAGCTGTTCTCAAAATCCCGGGCTCAGGCAATCAATCCTCTTTGCCTCAGCCTTCCAAAGTGCTGGGATTACAGACGTGAGCCACCACGCCCACCCACATATCATTTTATAAAATATCCTTTCCATCAAAGTATTCAAGGGCTGGTGTTTCAGCAGAATTAAGCTGGGACAATAGAGTGACAAGCTTTTCAGAATCCTATAATTTCAAAGTTGGACAAAACAGAGCAATCTTCCTCCTTATCCGCTCCAACACAGAGTGTACCCTCCCTTCACACATGTTTCATTTGGTCTTTGGTAGGGGTGGGGGTGAGAGGAGAGATGCACTCAAACAATTGTTGTTTAAAGAAGTTATTTTTAATTTTTATTTTATTTCTTGAATGAGGGGAATAAAGACCTCTATAACAGCTGAATCGGGAACATTGAGAAAGTAATATACCTCTCTGAGTCTCAGTTTTCTCATAAAATAAGGGCTTCAGAGATCAATTGATGGCCCCAAAGGTCACCTGAGGAAACAAAAAGTTATGCTCTAGGATACTTTCTGACGTAGATTTACTCTTTGGTGCGGTCTTCAGATTCTCAGCCCTGTTGGCTTCCTGTAGGAAGCTGGCTTTCACTTTCAAGAAGGCTTCTGACCATGACGATGTAAAATCCAGCTGTAGTGACTAGTGGTGATGTGGTGAGTTTAGTACTAGAAGTTCTGTCAGCAATGCCTGGTCACTCACCTTCCAGCACCTCTTTTCTAGAAAGTTTGACTGCTTTCTTCTCAGCTCCTATCATGTCTGATCTGTTTCTGACTCTAAACTTTCCCCATAAGCTCCGAACATAAGATGATGTTTTTAAATCCTGAATGACAAATTGAATTTCTAACATGCAAAAACATCATCCTAGGTACTGTGGAAAACAGAAGACATATGACAGATACTATAAATGACTAGACAATAACAAACACTCTGATGAATTGGTCAGAGCAAGATAACTAGTTGTATCAAACAACCTTAAAATTCCATTGGCTTCATGCAATAAGAGCTCATTTCTCATGTTATTTTTCAGTATTTGTCAGTTTTCTCTAAGATATTTGGCACCTAAAGTCCTTCCACCTAGTGACTTCCCATGGCCCACAATCTTGGATTTTCACTGGGATCCTCTGAAT